ATATCCCCTTAAATCATTCTTATATTTAAATGATTATTTATTATATTTAATTAATATATATAAAAATTTTACTATTCTTAAATAATAAAACAATTTTCTTTCAAAACAAATATATTTTCCAATTAAATTAAGTAATTTAATATATCAATCATATTTTTTCAATATTAATAAATGAAATAATTCTATTGATTGAACTTTTTCTTAAATACGTGAAAATATTCGAGAGTTTATAATAAAAGCATATATATATATATATATATATATATATATATATATATATATATATATATATATATATATATATATATATATATATATATATATATATATATATATATATATATATATATATATATATATATATATATATATATATATATATATATATATATATATTAACACCTAATATTAACATAAATAAATTATACCTCACACAGTTATGATGTATATGAAAAACACAACTTTTATTTTGTACTCATTTTTAATATTAACCTTGATTAAGACTAATTAGATACTATTTTTTTTTATATCTTAAAGATCATTTTAATTGAATGCTTTTGATTTTTATTTATTGTCCTTCTATTTTTAATAAGTATGAAAAGGTAGAGTTCTAGTTGAATTGTATACATGATTCTCTAAGTCATAAGTATATAATAAATTGTAATTAAGAAAAAATTACATTTTAATGACATTTATATTATATTTTTTATGAATAAAGAAAAATAATAGGTTAAAATTCATATTTAAAGAAATAACTATAGTACTATAATACTATATTTAAATAAAAGAAATAACTATAGTACTATATTTTAAAAATAATTATAGTAATATATAACCAAAATTTTCCGTTTTCCAATTCTTGATTTATGTATTCGGTTGGATCTAAAAATCCATTGGATTTCTTCATGATAATTGTTAGAATTGTTCTTCATGACTGCACTAGAGATTTACATCATTTGTTACGTATAAGTTATATCTGGATTTATAAATGAAAGTCATGTCATTAATAATTTGAATAGGAACATTTTTAGGTTTCACTTTGTGGAAAGAAAATATTGAAAAATAGCTACTACAACATGTCAATCTAATCTTAAAATAATAGTGACAATTATACCTTTGAATAAAATAATTAAAGGAATGGGAGAGTTGTTTATGCTAAATTTAGATCACATGATAACTTAATCCAACTTTTTAGGTTGAGATCTTCTTAAGAAATTAGTTTATTTAGATAACAATGACATTTTTGGTTGATCTCAAACATAAAAAATTGGAAATAGTTAATAAGGTCGCTAATAGAATGATTTTGTGGGCTTATGGCTTTATGGAATTAGGAGAATGGCTTTATGGAATTAGGAGAATGGCTTTATAGAATTAGAATTAGAAAGGGATGATTAGTAGGAAAAATTGATTTTTTTTAGAGAAAGTGTGTGAAATAGCCAAAGAGAAATATATGAGAAAATACATTCTTCTTTCATTCATCAAAAGATCCCATTCAAGATTTAAGAAAAGATAGTTTAAGAAATAAATAAATTATAATTAAAGACAATCACTCATACACCCTTATAATCAGTAATTTAATTAAACAATTTTTTATTACATTTTATAGTGTCATCTTTTTACGTTTTATATTTTCATCTTGATTACTCATCACATCCCTGGTAACCAAAAGGTCACATTATATCTGTATTCAAAGAAAACATAAATTTTAAAATTTTACTCTATATTCTCAAATAACTCTTATATATAAAAATTTAAAATTAATAATTAATTTATTATAATATTAAAAATAGAGAGAGTATGAATGATTGAAGATATAATTTTTGTTTCTTTAATTTATTGTGTCTAATTGTAATAATTGAGAAATTAATTGAGTGGAGAGAGTAAATACAGAGAGATACAAATTTTAATATGATTGAATAACAAACTTTAAAAAATTAATTTCTTTTAAATAAATTATTAAATATCTATAAAATTGGAATTATTATGAATTATAAATTCCATTGTACAAAACCATATAACATTGTAGTTGAGAGAGTTTTTTCAATTCCAACATATAAGTATTTATTTTGTAACCACTATTTGAATATAATTATTTATTTTATAACAACTATTAAAAATGATATATGTAATAGGTGTAGTATTTAATAATTTTTGTAAAAAAATATTCATATCCCCTTAAAACATTCTTATACTTAAATGATTATTTATTATATTTAATTAATATATATAAAAAATTTACTATTCTTAAATGATAAAACAATTTGCTTTCAAAACAAATATATTTTCCAATTAAATTAGGTAATTTAATATAACAATCATATTTCTTAAATACGTGAAAATATTCTAGAGTTTATAATAAAAGTATATATATAACTATTTTTCGCAATAAAACTAAGCTAATCAACAGTCTTTTTGCAAATGGGTTTCAACTAGTTTTGGCTTACTTCGCACTCAGTCAAAATCTCCGCAATCACTACTCCCGACCGAGTGCGAAGTGATTCAAAATATGTTTGTAAACCCCTAGATAACACTAACCCATACGAACTACAAATTAGGACTCTGATTCCTCATAAGAGGATACGTAGGCATACGATAAAAAATCGTAGCGAGTTCTACTATGAAAAATTTTAAGCCCTTTCTTGCTAATTAAAACTTAAAATCCAATTTATCCCAAACCTAAACCTAGAGGCTAATATCCTTGTGAACAAGGTGGATGAAAGGTGCCTAACACCTTCCTTTCGTCCAATTGTGTCCGAAACCTAGAATATCTGTCCGCGAATTAGGGTTTTCTGTTAGATTCCCTTCCCTAGATAAAAACTAATAGTGACGACTCTTGATTAAAAAACCAGTTGCTACACGAGGGTACGCTACCCCCCTAAATCCAACCCTGCGAATTGAATGGAATCATTAGTTTGAGCTAAATCATCCTTCACAATGAGATATGAACACAATAAGTCAAATCGGTCCAAACATGGTGATAATTTATTCTGGCGTAATGAGACTAATGCAAGGGATCAAACCTGTATCGTTTTGTCTTAGAAACACATTGCAAACATTAGTTCAAGTCAAAGCATCATAAAAATCAAGAAATGAAATTCTCAAAAACATGTAAATGCATGGAATGCAGGTTTTAGGCCTCGTTGATCATCAAGAATGATCCAAGCTTACTCTATGGTACCTCGGAAATCGATTGGGATGATTGATTGGCCTTGAGGACGGCTGTATGAGAGAGTTCAAGTTTTCCCTAGTTTGACAAATTTTGAAGTTTTTGGAAGATGGTTTCTTGCAAGGTTTTTCATGGTCAGGGTTTGTATGAATGAAGAAAATATATAGAAGAGCATTAAGTCAACATATGGTGGGCTTGGACTTGTATGAAAAAGCCTTGCCTTATTTTATTTTATTTTGACTTTTAAAATAATAAAAATCTAAAATAAATATAATAAACCAAAGGGAGGTGTATGAATAAGTCTTGAGGTGTATATGAAGTGTATAACACGTTTGGACATTGAAGTAATAGCCCAATAGCCCAAAATTCCAAGTTTGATCACTTTTGGTTTCATGCATTTTCTCAAAATTTCCCAACTTACACTGATCATAACTCTCTTAATATTTATCATTTGAAGGTGATCTTGAACTTTTTAGAAAGCTAAAGATGTCCTATACAATCCCTATTTTGATCATTTTTGCATTTGAAGACTTAATATTGATGTAAATTTCCTTGACAAAAAGTGTCTTTTTGTTGACTTTTGACATAACATATAATGTATTGGCCCATAACTCTCAAATGGAGCATTTTTTGGACTTATGCTTAGAGAGGCAAAGATGTAGAGAATTGAATATCCTTCAAAGTGAGATTTGGTTGATGAAAATATGATGAAGAATGTGAAAGTTATGCTTGTTCAAAGTTTAGTTGACGTCTCCTAAAGAAAACCCTAATTTGGCAACTTTTGACTTTTGATGATTTGAGAGTTTTCGTTGATGAACCATGATAAACCCTTGATCAAATGATGAATATCACTTAAAAATATTGGTTTTGACCAAAAATCTTGAAGTTTGATCGTATGTTGACCACAATTGACTTTTTTGTCCAATATAATTAATTTTTAGTCATCTAGCCATTGATTGAGCAAACTTGTGATGCAAGGCATGAAACTTAGTATGAGCATTCTTGATGACATATAAGAGACCATGCAATCCACTTGAGACCTTATAAACCTAATATTCCTTGAGAAAAATGAAACCCTAGTTGTAAGTCCATTGCTTAGGAGGAGAATTTGTCTGATCAATTCTTGAGCAACCTTGAGCATTTGAGAATCCTAGAAGAATGTCTTGAATAAAAAGGGAGGGAAAATTTTGGGGTACAATAGAAAGGAATTCAAAAGACAATACGAAAATGAGGAGTAAAATAAAGTCACGATGATACCTAACGGAGAAGGTCTGTTGCCTCTTCAAAGCCACACAAGCCACGAGAAAGATGTCAGAATCTCCACCAACGGTCAACCGAGTTAGTCCCCAAGGCTTAACATCCCAAATCAACATGCTATCGCAAAACCAATACAAGAATAACAACAAGAAATAATCATGAAATATGAAAGAAATTAAAGACAAACTCTCAATTAAATTCTAAAAGAGAAATTCTAAAATCAACTAGCATATTCTACTATGTTTTGTATCATTTTCATCACAATTTTATGCTATCAAAATTAATGACAAGAAAAATTATAGAATTATTTAAAGAAATTAATTAACCAAACAGAAACATTGTGCAAGCTGGATTTAAATTGTATGTTGTAGAAGTTGTCCCAAGGCCCAGCCAACAATATCCTTGAAGCATTTTTTTTGCTGAGTAATCTCCAGGCTGCAAAAACAAGTGATAACAGGCCTGAGGAGAACATAGAGTTCAGCCCAATCCCATAGCATAACCATCAGTCTATCACCATATTTTGTTCATAATTTTCAATAGAATATAAATGAAATAATAAAAAAAAATTAATCCACAGATGAGAAACGCTGTGTTTTGCTGTAGAGCTATGGTTCAATTAGGCGTGACTCATCAGCTTCTTGTGAAATTCAGAATACAAGTTCTTCTTCTCCGCAAAGGGCAATCGTCGGCACCATACGTCACCGTCTCTATCTTTGGCCTCCTTCTCTCTGTTTCATCTCTCGTCTTCGTATATCACCACCGCAAACCCTCTCAGCTCATCTCCTTCAATGCGTTCGTGAAAATGCAACGGGTGCACATAACTTTCATCGCGACAACCATGGATGCTGAGACAAAACCTTGGTTCACTCGCTAAAACGACGAACCGTCTACACGAAATACCTTGAACCTTTCTTAATCCTCAAGGGAGGAGGCGGATCGATGGATCCAAGCAACAGTCTAACAACTTCAAAACTCCGATGCAATTTTGACGCAAGTCCGGTAATCCTTATCTCTCTCCCATCACTTATATTCTTTCTTCTTCTTACTTCGTTTGCGTTTCTCCGGGACCTCTTCTTGCGTGTTTTCGATAGCGAGCAATTGTTGCTTATGGATTCGTCGCAGTTTGAACGAAGGATGTTGAATGTTGCAAATTTGTGACGATGATGATTATGCAGAATCTCGATACGTATCGATGTGACATTGATGATGACGAATTGAAGTGAGCTTGAAGAATCACGAAGTGTGATGAAGATGAAAGAAGATTGAGGAATTGTAATGAAAAGCTTCGTTCAGAGGTTGATGAATATGGAAGAAGATTGCAGAATCATAATGAAGAGCTTGGTTCAGAAGTTGATGAAGATTGATGAAGGATGAAGTAGTTGCAGAAGAATTGGTGAAATCTGTTATGGATTAATGTCTAGAATGCGGTTGGAAGATGAGAGAGAGAGAGAGAGTTTTTTTTTGGTGATTTTTCCAGAAATTGGAGAATGAATCTGAATTGAGGTATGAATCAGTTTTATATTTCTATTGGAGTTTGTTAGGAATGAACCAATCTGAGCTGTTAGTTTTGAAAGTTTGTTATCAAATCCAATGGTTAGGATTAATTCTGTTTATTACTGAGCTGTCAAAGAAAATTAGTTTTTGATTATATGCTGAGCTGTTATGAGGTGATATCTTGCTTCTGATTTTCTATTTTATAATTCTCTCTTTTTCCTTTGCATATCTTTCTTTTTGCTTGTCTTATCTGAATCATGAACTGGCAGTTTAGTAGCAAGGTTAATTCTAGAATTTTATTGAAGCTAAACTGAGTTCCACCAATTTTTCCATTGCCTTTTTCTATTTGGATATTCTTTCAATGAATTTTCTGATTTTGATATTTCTAGCCGAGCAGGGCATACTTTAGGTTAAAATTTGTTTTCCATGTAAGCTATGATTTTTCTCTGTTGAATACAAACAGGTTATGGATTAATTGGATGGGTAAGGCTGCTTGTCTCGATTGGATAATGCAGGGAGTTGGAGAAAATTTCATGGTTCACAATGCAAGATCTCGGAACATGGATGTATTTATGTTTTACTTCTACTTATGCATGTTGGTTTGGATGTAGGTCCTGATGCAACAAGTTGCGATTTTCTTTTAAGGTCAACGTGGCTGTATTATGTATGAAGGCATTTTCATAGGAAGTCTTGAATATATTTAAAGCAAGTTTAGATTTTAGGTTTAAGACAAAGTGAAGCTACTCGAAAAAACAAATAACCTCGGATAGAACAAAAAAAGTCGCCACCTAACTTTATTTATTCCAAAGAATATAGGGAAAGGAAAATATAGAGAAAACTTTTGGTATCGGAAAAAGAATATGGTCACGCAACTAAATCTCGGGTAAGGTAGTCGATTACACGAGGGAAAGCTATTGGCACCCCTCACGTATGTGGTACTCCACGAGATCCACTCATTTTATTCTATTCAATGGGTGTGTTTATCTAAAGGGTTTTATTAGTGCATTTGCGTGAGCATTGAAACTCCATGTCTACGTATCCTCAAAGGAATCAGAACGCCGTAGTTCTTTTTAAAAATATTTTTGTTGTTGTCTTTTTTTATGGATGATATTAAGTTCTCATTCTTACTGTTAATGTTGCCACTCGACCGTTGGAGACTACACATCATTGTTTTGTGTAGAAAGGTGTTAACATATCCTTTTTGAAAAGGTTTTAAAGTGAAAAAGCCCTAAGGCAAAATGATTTGGATTTGGTTGGTGTTTTTGTTAGGAAGAAGGTTTTAAGTGGACCCTCGTCCAAGGAGACACCCATCACCTTCATACCTTTAGTTTTGAAAGGCTTTTGAATATTGTTAAGTGTTTTGAGATTTGATTGAGAATTTTTTTTAATCTTATTGATGTAATGCAACAGGAAGAGAAGAGTCTAATGGGGAGACTTATACCTTAATGTTGTCATGTATAGTTTAGAATTAAGGTTTGGATTGAGGGGAGAATTCTATCCTAAAACTGTCATGCTTGGATTTGAAATCCTAATGTCTACTTTGGTTTAAATTTTATCAAAGATTGTGGATGAGAATCCATGGATTTTGTTTGGTAAAAGTTGACACAGAAGATTGAAAGTTAAAACATGTTTTTGATATTTTGTGGCTTATGTTATAAAAGAGTTTATGAAGGAAATATATTCATAAATAAGATAAGCTTTGTGAAAATATGGATGAATTGGATGTTTGAAACAAGTGTATGCATCACAATCACAAACGTATCATAACTTTGATTTTAGACATGTTTCATGGTTTAATGTGAATTTGGTTGAGAAATATTCTTGAGTGGCTAAAGATATCATGAAATGCCTACTCAAGTGTGAAGATATCTCATAGAAATCAAGACCTATCATGATAAGATCAAGTTTTATGAGCAAAGTTGAAAAATTCATCAAAAGGATCACAAAAAGGTCACTTTAAAACCCTAAACAAGTGATTACTTTGATTTAATTGGAAAATAATGAAATAAAAAATATTTTTGTGATTATTTTTATAATCATAAAATAGACATGATAAACTAATAGTGTGCAAAAAATTAGTTTAAAAAGACTAAATATATATATTTTAAAGGTTTTCTCCTTATTTTAAAATAACACATAATATTAACATAAATAAATTATACCTCACACACAACTTTCATTTGTACTCATTTTTAATATTAACCTTGATTAAGACTAATTACATACATTTTTTTTATATATTAAAGATCATTTTAATTGAATGCTTTTGATTTTTATTTATTGTCCGTCTATTTTTAATAAATATGGAAATGTAGAGTTTTAGTTAATTTGTATACATGATTCACTAATTATCATAAAGGTGATAAGTATATCAGAAAATGTAATTAAGGAAAAGTTCACGACATTTATATTATATTTTTTATGAGTAAATAAAAAGAATAGGTTAAAATTTATATTTAAAGAAATAACTATAGTACTATAATATTATATTTTAAAAAAAGAAATAACGATAGTACTATATTTATAAAATAATTATAATACTATATAACCTATTTTTTTTTTTGTAATTCTTGATTCATGTATTCGGCGGAATCTAAGAGGTCATTTTTCATATGAATTTTATGGATATAAATACATATTATCCATCACAAATTGTAAATCCATTGGATTTCTTCTTCAAAATTGTTACAGTTGTTCTTCACGATTCACGACTACGCTAGAGATTTACATCATTTGTTACGTAACGTATAAATTATATCTGAATTTATAAACGAAAATCATGTCATTAGCAAGTTGAATATAACCATTTTCAGGTTTCACCTTGTGGAAAGAGTTGTACAATTTGACATAGAATACCGAAAAATAACTACTACAACATGGAAATCTTAAAAGAATAGTGACAATTATACCTTTGAATAAAATACAGTCCTATACTGTTCCCTCACATTGGTACGTGATTGCGATTTAATGTCTATATTTTTAGGAACTTGATTAATTTTATTACATGTGGATAAGGAGAATGCCAAAATTATATTTTTTGGTTATTCATGATAACTTAATCCAACTTTTTAGGTTCAAATCTTCTTAAGAAATAAGTTTATTTGGATTACAATGATGTTGGGACTTTATTTTATATTGCAAGAATACTTTTTATTTTGTTAGAAGGAAATTAATAGAATGGTTTTATGGCTTATGGTTTTATGGAATTAGGAGAATAGTTCATGCTTCATAGAATTAGAAAAGAATGATTAGTAGGAAAATTGATATTTTTTAAGAGAACAGTGTGTGAAGTTGCCAAGAGAATTATATGAGAAAATCTATTCTTCTTTCGTTCAACAAAAGATCTCATTCAAGATTTAAGAAAAGATAGTTTAAGAAAAAATAGATTATAATTAAAGACAATTATTCATACACCCTTCTAATCACTAATTTAATTAAACAATTTTTTTTACATTTTATATTGTCATCTAGAATACTCATCACATCCCAATGGTAACCAAAAGGTCACATTTTATCTGTATTTAAAAAAAAATTGAGGACATTAAATGATATATTCTAATTAATGAAAATGATTAAGGAAGAATAAAGTTCACGATATAGATATGATATTTTTAAAATATCATTAAATTAATTAATTAAATCTATTAACTTTATAATTTTAAATACATGCAAAGATTAGAAAGCATATGATAAGAAGAAACATAAATTTTAAAATTTTACTCTCTATTCTTAAATAACTCTTATATATAAAAAATTAAAATTAATAATAAATTTTTCATAATATTTAAAATAGAGAGAGGGAGTATGAATGATTGAAGATATAACTTTCATTTCTTTAATTTATTGAGTTTAATTGTAATAATTGAGAAATTAATTGAGCGAAGAGAGTAAATACAGAGAAATTAATTTAGCATTTATAATTTAATATGTTTGAATAATAAATTTTGAATAATTAATTACTTTTAAATAAATTATTAAATATCTATAGAATTAGAATTAGTATGAATTATAAATTCAATTTTACAAAACCATATAACATTGGAATTTGGAGAGTTTTATCAATTCCATCGTATGAGTATTTATTTTGTAACCACTATTTAAATATAATTATTTATTTTATAATAACTATTAAATATAATTATTTATTTAAATATAATATTTTTTTGTAAAAAAATATTCATATCCCCTTAAATCATTATTATAGTTAAATGATTATTTATTATATTCAATTAATATATATAATAATTTTATTATTCTTGAATAATAAAACAACTTGCTTTCAAAAATAATATATTTTTTAAATAAATTAAGTAATTTAATATATCGATCATATTTTTTTAATATTCATAAATAAAATAATTAAATTGATTGAACTTTTTCTAAAATACGTGAAAATATTTGAGAGTTTATTATAAGAGCATATATATATATATATATATATATATATATATATATATATATATATATATATATATATATATTTCTCCCAATTTTAAAATAAGACCTAATATTAACCTAAATAAATTATACCTCACACATTATGATGTACATGAAAAAGTTGTTTGATATACTAAAGATCATTTTAATTGAATGCTTTTGATTTTTATTTATTGTCTTTCTATTTTTAATAAGTATGGAAAGGTGAAATTTTAGTTAATTTGTAT